AATGCATGGAATTTTACCTGAAATTTGCATTTTTCCATACGAATTCCATGCATTTCCCATACATTTCCATGCCAAATTTTTTATAGTGTTGGTGGAGGGATATTAAAAAATTAGAAAGTTTTTGTTTCCATTTTGTGGTGCACTCAACAAGTTACAAACAGATAATGCTTGTCTTCATGATTGCCAAATTTTTTATAGTGTTGGTGGAGGGATATTAAAAAATTAGAAAGTTTTTGTTTCCATTTTGTGGTGCACTCAACAAATTACAAGCGGATAATGCTCATCTCCATGATGTACTACATTGTTTTGCCTATTTTTACAAGATGTGGAAGGAATATTCTGACCAAAATTTAAGTGCAAGAATGATTATTCATCTAGAAAAACATTGGCAAATATGGGAGCAACCATTATTATTTTCCTTTATTCTTCATGACAAAACCTTTCTTCAAGATAATACATCTATTTCTATTGCAAAACTCAGTGAGTGGATGATATATTATTTGTGTATGGTTTAAAAAAGCTCCTAATACTTTGTTAGGTGAATTACAAAATAGATAAAATTTCCCTTTTCATAATATTTCATTAAAACAATTTAATGATAGCATACTTGGCTTTTGGGATTTTGTGTCAGCTTATACACCAGATTTGAGTATTTTTTCTATCAAAATATTTGCAATATGTATAAATACTGCTTCTGTTGAGAGACTCTTTTCTGCAATGGATTTTTTCCACATAAAGAAAAAGAAATCATTTGGATGTATGTGAATTTTGTATTTTTTTTATATATATTTTTTGACTATAATTACTAAATCATCTAGTTTTTTATTATGAGTCAAATGAAAGGAGAATTTCAGAGATTAGAATGATTAGAAAATATTCAAAATTCAAACAAAAAATTTAAAACTACAAACATTGCAATTCCAATTATTCAAGAACAAACAGATGAATTGTTTATGGTTTCTGATGATGATAGAAATGGTGATTTTTTTAATAATGATTTTGAATACTCTGAACATGATATTAAAACACCTCATGAGTGGAGAAATTTAATCAATGAATGGATTGAAATGGTTGAAGAAGAGGAGGAGGAGGAGGCAGAGGATGATAATTATAATGATGAATTAGATTTACTTAGTGGTCAAACAATAGATTTAGACCAAATTGTGAAAACCAGACATCCACTTCTTAATAAAAAAGCCAAGTGGAAGTTGAATGATATTTTTAATTTGGAAAAAATTGAGGCTCCTATATATTTATCTTCATTAAGTGGTATGTTTTTTAATTTATTTTGTTTATACTTGAATTGGTTGATTCGCCATGTATATTAATTTAACTCTTCTTACAGTTCATACAGATTAATTGATCTTTGGATTTTTTTTTTGCTCTTTCATTCTTTTATCAAAATTTTTATTTTATTTTAAATATGTTGTGCATAATTGTGAATGCACTAGTAATATTTTGAAAATATATTAATATAATATATTAAAATTTACAATTGATCCAATGAAATATAGAAAATTACACTTTTTTATTTGAAAATATTATTATGTCCAATTGGACAAAATTTTCAACACTGTCCATATGACATAAATATTTGCTTCGAATTATTAATCAAATTATTTGTATTGCTCAGTTGACCTAAATATTTAGTAGCATTAGTAATTAGCAATTAGTAAGCTAGTAATACAGAAAATAGGATTAATAAGCATATTTTATTGGACAAAATATTGTAAAGGTCATGTTATTTGTAATACCTCAAGAGGTATAAAAAGGCTTGATTTTAGACCAAGTGAGAAGAGAGAAGTGGATCGTGTAAATAACATTAATAATAATCTATAACAATTGTTTTTTTTTTTCTTTTTCTTTTTCTTTTTTTCTTCCCCCCCCCATTGTTAATAATTAAATAAACACATTTTGCCTTATTACGAATTTTTACATAGTTAACAGGAAAAGCAATTGTGAGTTGTTCCATGATCCTCTCTGGTGATTAGTGGCTGGCCACTAATCATTGGTTAGGAACCCCATTTGATTGTTCTATGCTGCTTGTAGGGACGCCTCAAGTGGTATAGTTGTAAATATTTCTTGTATATATATATTCTCTTTTTAATATTTTTTTTTATAATGTTGTCAAAAAACCAAAAAAGAAGACAATCAAACAATGTTGCAGAGGAACAAGATCTGGGTAAGTGTTTTAAGGATGGTGGTGGTTATCACCCGCCACTCATCATTACTCTAGTTAGTTTATAAAAAAAATGAAATTAATTAAAATTTTTCATTACTTTTTAGCCAAGAACGGACATTAACAGACATTACAAATCAAGAAAACAATCATATTGTTCCAACTCATATTCAAAAATTTAATCAGGAGTTATCCAAATTAGTAAATATGCGATTTGTTTTACCTGAGAAATTTTTATTTATTGATCAATAAGAAATACCCTTTACATTCATTATTCAGGATAATTATACAAAAGATAAAGATATTAATAGTTTATACGTAATAGTTCTCACTTTTTTTGAAGAAATTGGGCAAAGGTACAACCTGGAAAGTGTTGCAGATGACTTTCCATGCCTGTCCTTCGTTATTGATTTTCATGACCCATATGGAAAACTAGACAGTCTTTATCGAAAATACTTTGGAATCAATTATAAGGACATAGAAATATATCAATCATATGACATTTTTCATGTCAATAAACATTTAGATAAGTACATTAAAGAATCAATCGAAAAAGACCTATTGGCTATTCCTGATGATTATGGGGGTTTGGATAAAATTTACTTTGAGTTGGCTGGTAAAATAATCAAAAAATTTGTAAGTTATCTTGCACTTTTGATTAGGATCAATAATTATTGTAATTCATTTATTTAAAAATTTCCAGAAAGATCCAGAATAAAAAAAACTCATTTCAAAACAAAGAAAGACACATTAATGGATGAAGGGACATGGATGAAATTGACAATTGATGCCTTCTTTTATTCAATGATTAAATTTTTTGATGATAATTTGGTCATTTGTTGGTATGATAAATATTAATAATTATATTGTGTACATGATTGATTCTCCTTATTCAATAAGTATCATTATTTTTATATAGGGGTGAAAGAATTAACAAAACCACAAAAGGTGCGAATGTCGATCAAAAACAAAATTCCACTATGCTAATGCACACATGTTACTTTGTAACACAAATTGAATGTCCACCATGCTATACAAATCTCTAGATTTAGTTTTTATTTCATTTGTATGGCAGTGTCCAAATTAAGGTTTCTGGTCCAAACTGTTCTCTCAAAGCTCAAACTAGTTTGGGCAATTTGGGCTTCTCAGCATTTTTTATAAACATGAACATTAAAAAACTATACCAATCAACTTTGAGCTTATAAAAAAGTAGTTTTTTGCCCAAAATGTTTTGGCAAATTTCGGCTACTAATAAAGAGAGTTTCAGCCAGAAACCTTAATCCAAATGTCTTCTTAATAGTTTAATTCTCAATGATTTTCTTTTTGAGCTATTAATCCATTGTAGGATAAGTTTTACTTCCCATCCAGTAATGTTTTCTCAGCAGTTCTTTGTTATCTGCCTGAGCTGGCATGTCCCTAAATATCCACCTTGGTTCTTTTTAGGCTTATCCATTACTTTTGTTTTAGACTCAGTATCTGTACTGATCACACCTAGCTAGGGTTTACTCTTCTTAGGAATTGGCCTATGCTAAATAAAAATAAAGGAAATAAAGTTAAAAGAAATATATGTTCAACTATATTTATCACAGGTGTCCCCCTGGTAGGATAGCAATCAATCAATTAGTTAGTTAGGTTAGTTTGTAAGTGAATGGGCTCTTCCACTGGCAAAAAGTTAGTTAAACATATATTTATGTTCGTATTTTATTAGTTAGATATTATTGTTGTTACAGGATAAAGAAAAAACTAATGATTGCATGAAAGGAGAAAATTACAATGTATTTATACATGTTAAAGGTTCTATCATCTAGTTCTCCAATTTCTTTGAAATTCTGAATTATACTAATTAATTGTATTCCTTAAACATTATTTGAACCTTCTGTGTGGAATCTCTTTCAAGTTATTTATATTCAAATTCAAGTGAATTAAATTCCTTTGTTTAAATATAGTTCTGAGATCTGATGGTCTGTTACACTTTAGAATCTTAGAATATTTATATCTCCAATGTTTGGAATATTTTCCATGAGCTAATTATTTTATTGGTGTCAGTCAGGGAGATTTCCAAATATGGAAATCGAATCTGAAAAAAATTGAAGCACTTTTATTGATCAATTTCATATTGAGTTAATGTGATACTTGTGCTAATGAAAAAAAAAATTTTAAAAACAAATCCCGATTATAATAATTGAAAATAAATTCTTTTGAATATATAATCCACTGGGATCCACACTAATTTCTACTGTGAGATAGTAAAATAAGGACCGATAGAGAGGTCCCACGTTGCCGATCCAACCAAACCAAATTACTGCGGAAAACACGTGAAAATTAAATCATTTCTACAGTGCAGGACATCTATAATGGTCAATAGTCCGAAACTTAAAATTTTAGAAGATCTTTCTAATTTAAGTAATCAT